TATATTGAAGAAAAAGGATGCAAAAACTTAGATTTACATTAAATAACTTGTGGCCGAGTTGACTTGTGGCCGAGTTGACTTGTGGCCGAGTAGAACGTAGCCAATTTTTTTGTGGCCGAGTTGACTTGTGGCCGAGTTGACTGCAGCTGAACTTTTTGTGGCCGAGTTGATTTGTGGCCGAGTTGACTTGTGGCCGAGTTGACTGTGGCCGAGTTGACTTGTGGCCGAGTTGGACCGAATTCGCAAAGATACTATGGGCCTGTTTCTGCTGAGCAAAAAAACACGTGTTTTTAAACGGTTATTAAAAAACACGTGTTTTCTTCCCAGCAGAAACGGGCCAAAAAACAAAAACACTGTTAGGAATGCATTCTAAAAACACGTGTTCACGTGTATGGAAATACAAAAAAATTACATTAAATGATAAACTGCCCACTAATTAAATATGTAACAACCTTTATTATTATTTTATTATAGTTATTTTTTATTCTGTGCTGAGTTATCACTCTATATACTGTTATTGTTATTTTTTTTTTCACATTTGTTTACTGTTTTTGTTTACTTTATTTGATTTCATATTAACAGAGAAAGTAATTTTAAAGGCCTGTAATAACAATTTAATAAATAAGAATTTGCAAAAAAATAATGACGATAATAATAATAATAATAATAATAATAATTTTAATTAGTAACCTTAGTTCCTGGAATAAAATTAATAATTTTGACGGTAACAAATGATATGTCCATGTTATAAATCATAAGAACAATTATAACATAATATTAATAATGAAATAAAAATTACTATACAGTAATGATAGTAGTAATAATAATACTAACAATAATAACAATAATAATATTAATATCATTAATAATAGCATTAATAGTGAGAAGGTCTTAGCTAACTGTTGTATTTCCAAATACCAGTAAAATACTGTATTAAACTACTTTTTTATTCTCCTCTGTTTAGAACTTATATATTTTGTTTTGCTCATTGTTTTTCTTTGTTTTGCTCGTTGTTTTGCTTTCTTTTTATAATTTTCTTTATTTTGTATATTTCCTTTGTGAACGCACCATCATTCTGATGTGTGCTGCTGATCTAAAAGCGTATGTTCAATAAAGTTCAAGTTCACGCATTCGTTATAGGGTTGGCGTTCAGAAAACAGGTGTTTTGTGGTACACTTTTCACCTGCAGTACGCAATACCGTGTTAGTCATGACCCTGGTTTTTAATTTTTAGTTGTAATTTTGGATTTCCAGTGAAGACAACTCATTTATGGACTGGATTTCTAATGTTTTGTTTGACTTCATTTTTTCTTGCACTTTGATATGCATTTTAATTTACTCTAACATCCTAATTTTCTCGTCTCCTTTAATTGTCACTTACTCTAATTCTAAACGGACACCGACGCTCGAGTTTTCTCTGAGGCGGTTCGGCAAGCCTGTTCATGACAGACCGACGCTGCGTCTTAAACTGTGGTGGTGGACCTTTCCTATTACTCGTCACTATTTCTACCCCTCCTGTTATACTCTTACGCTTTTAGAGTCCATAGGAGGTCGGCTTTAGCCACCAGAACCAGAACAGTTTACTGTTATCTGTAAGCCCGTGTGTAAGTAATGTAGGCCTACTTAAGTTGTCGCTTTAGCTCTGACAAACACCAATTACAGTACTATAAATTTATTTCATGTATTTCTTTAATTAAGGTTTCGTTATAAATAACTATTATTTGTAAACATCACAAAAGTCTTGATTTCTTTTTGTTCGAACATTTCGAGCGGTTATCATAACAAGACCAACTGTGGACAATTTAGACTTTGGTTGAAAGTTTGAATCCGATTGGAGGCATATATACGTTAACAAAAATATTAGAATGGTATTTTATTCAGACTAAGGTATGTTTTACCCCTAAATATTTTAATTTTATTATATAAAACTTTACAGCCAAGGAATACGTACAGCTTAAAAGTGTGGGGTAGCATTTATAAAACATATTTACAACCTATTCTTGTTACCCAAGAATATGTGTGTGCAATGTATTAATTTTTCTGATTTTAAAGCTGCGTCTTCCCCGCTATTCAAACAGTTAAATATTTTAAATGTTCATAAATTTTATGAACTTTGTGTACTTAATTTTACTACTACTACTTCTACTACTACTACTACTTCTGCTGCTGCTGCTGCTGCTACTACTACTTACTACCTACTACCTACTACTACTACTACCTACCTACTACTGCTGCTACTACTACTACTACTACTACTACCACTACCACTACCACTACCACTACCACTACCACTACCACTACCACTACCACTACCACTACTACTACTACTACTACTACTACTACTACTACTACTACTACTACTACTACTACTACTACTAAGAAAGTATAATACATACTCCAAGTATTGAAATACACGCCATCGTGTTGGGATTCAATATTTCGACATTAATTATGTCATCATCAGGAATGAAAAAAAACTACTACTACTACTACTACTACTACTACTACTACTACTACTACAACTTGTAACAAGTTCGTGTTTTTTTTTTGGCGTATATTTGCATCACGTGTGGTTATTTAAATAATAAAGCAAATGCTCAGGTGCGCGACGGTTGTGTGAAGCGTTGTGGTGAAAGTGTTTTTCCCCTTGTTTTGTTGAGTGGAACGGCTGTATGCGGGATGGGCTGGGTAATGCCTTGTGTCTTGTATGCTATGCCGTAGATTTCAGAGCGTTGTATGGTATATCGGGTACTGTGGCTCGGTTTCACGTACTGGTGTGACGATGTTACAGGACAGACCCAAAACCAACACGAAGCGGGCATAAGATCGTGACTGTGATTTTTCATGTATTTGTTTTGGGTTCTTAATAATTAAATGTGGAAGTATATTGCTTATTACTGTACTTAGCCTACCCTTGCTTGTGTGTAATGCAAAATGTTACTTTATAGCTTCGAAACATTATGGAATTGTAGATTCTTTGTTATGTCATGTATTATTGTATTATATGTTAGATCTTAGATGGTCGGAAGAAGGGAGGAAGATTGGAAGCACAGACCAATTGCTCTTTCCGATTGACCACTTGATGCCGGGAATCTAAAACTCGGGAGCTATTAAACTTACTAAATTATTATGAGGGGTTTTTTTTTGTACACCCATAGTTTTTTGATGAGTTCGTGTTAGCCACGTTAGTGCTGTGTTCGTGTTAGCCACGTTGAAGAGCTGTGTTCGTGTTAGCCACGTTCTGAGCTGTGTTCGTGTTAGCCACGTTATAAGCGTTGAGTATTATTCTTATTATTTTTATATTTGTTTATTACTATTATTATTGTTGTTATAATCAGTTATTATTGCATTGCCTTGAAGTGTTGATTGTAAATTGTTAATGTGATAGAGATAGGCCTAATTGATAGTCTTACAAGCAAAATTGTCTTTATATGCAATACTGAATATTGTTTGTAGTACCGATGGTGATAGCCAGAATTGATTATCGCGATTTGTAAACTAATGATCTATTGATAGTATTGTTTATTGGATTTGCGTCAGGAGAAACATGTATAGGTGTAAGTTTGCCCTACCTGACGTGGAAATGTACCGTACCGAATACTCGGTACATTTGAAAACAACTGCGAAAAAAATCGCAAGTTGTTCTCGGGTGGGACTCAAACCCACGATCTCCAGATCACTAGCCTGGCATCATACCTCTAGACCACAGAGCTTGCGCATGATGGCCAGGGTTGAATTCGAGTCCAAGTAAGGAGCGGGTACTGCAGTGTTTATAGTAATTGTTATTGTCGTGATGGAATAATAGACAATAACTGAATTTGCGTCAGGAGAAACAAGTATAGGTGTAATTTTGCCCTACCTGACGTAGTTATTGTCTA